GAAAAGAAGATGGTGGACTGTCAGAGGAGAGGAAGAGGTGGGAGGAGAGCAGGAAAGAGATGAAAATAGACAGCGTGGGAGGCAGAGAGGGAGAACGGATTAGAACAAAATCCAAACAGACCGGCTTCTTCAACAAAGCATCACGAAGAGCTACAAGGGTGTACGGTGTCCTCTACCGACCAATCAGATATCGGATTACAGCAGACAGCGGCCAATCACCTCTCTGCCTGTAGGTGGCTGCACTTTGAACATTGCTCGGGTAACTAAACCCAAGAACAAAAGTGTCATATAGTGCAGATTATCAGTCCCCACATGTAGGAGCCGCATTCGGGTTTATTTAAGCTAAGAACATTATCAGCGGGCAGGGCCGGCGCTGGATTATTTTGCACCCTAAGCAGGACCAGCAACTCCCCTCCCCCCCCTTCCCCCATCACGGATTGTCTCCGGCGATCATCATTCAATCCTGTGGGGAAGCCGCTGGTCGAGGCTGCGCACAGGGCTGAATTAAGAGCATCATGGGCCCCCCCTTAGCACTCAGCACTGTTGGCCATTCGGACGGGAAGCAGCTGAGGCGGCTCTCTAATTAGGTGGCCGCTCGCTCCACGGGAGAAGCATCGGGAGTACTTGGGCGGGTACGAGTACTCGGCATCTGCACCGATACTAGTATCGGTGCATCCCTAGAATATAGAGACACAAAGAATGCTATAAGTAGACATGTGCAATTCATTTTCTTCCGAATCAAAATTTTGACGAATTTACCAAAATTTTGACATTAAGACACATCCGAGTTTCCAAATCCCGATGCATCCGAATTCGAATTTCCGTTTACGAATGTCAAAAACGAAACTGAATCAGACATGTGACTTTTCTGGCCAATCGGATATGTTTTTCGGTTTAACGAATGGGTCTGAACACGAATTTTGGTTACGGCAACACATGGAAGCCATCTGATTGGCCACAAAAGTCACACGCAGTAATGAAAATTCGCGTTCAGTAAATACATATAATACTAAAAGCTGAGGCTCCCAGACCCGAATGGCATTCAGGAGCTCCCCAATTCAATTCGGAATTTCGGATCCTGAATGCCATTCGGGTTTGGGAGCCTCAGCTTTAGTATTAAAGGAGAACTATGAGGTGAGGGCTTTTCACTCACCTCATAGTTCTAGCCGACCTGTCATCTCGATGTATACTGCGGCATCTCAATATACCGCCGATACCGAATACTGATACCGGAAGTTCCATTCAGGAAGCCAGGCGGCGTGTAATGACTCACCA